TGTGTGTGTGTGTGTGTGTGTGTGTGTGTGTGTGTGTGTGTGTGTGTAGATCTCGACCCTGCCATTGTGATGCCTAAAGACTCTGTTGTGGTGGCTCAAGGAGCGGAGCTGACGGCCACCTGCAACGCCCTCTCTTCTCTCCAGACACAGACAGTCTGGCTGAAGGTCCCCTACACTCATGCAGTACAGAACAAAGACACAAACAACAGCATTTTGTCTTTTGCATTTAGAAAACCTGTCACCCTAATGTTTTGTGTGCAGTGAGGTACTGTGTGAAACATTATGGAATTTAGGTTGGCATCAGTCTACGCTATAATTATAATTTTTTTAAACGGTAATCGTGTGTCAGATTAGGTGATCATAGGCTCATTTTTAGGAGGTGGAGACTCGGTGTAAAAGGTGGCCAATCAGGAAGCCTCTAAAAATAGTTGTTGACTTTATTGGATTGTTTTTGTTGGCGGAGAGTTTTTGGACACTAAAAAAAGACAATTGAATATGTTTTCCTTATTATTTGAATCATGGTTGGCTGTGTATTGGTTGGACCATTGGTGAAAAAAGAATCATTTTCCCACTTCAAATAGGACTTTACATTTAGTGAAATGATTGTTTTAACATTTTCTGCACAATTTTCTGTAAAAGAATACACTGTAAACCTTTGCATCGTATCTGCGTGTGTTAAGTGTGCTTTTTGTGTGTGTGTGTGTGTGTGTGTGTGTATGTATGTGTGTGTATGTGTAGGATGGAGAGGCGGTTTCAATGGGCAACAGTTTGATCCTGAAGGACGCGACGTTTGACTCAGCAGGGGAGTACGTGTGTGTGGTGACTGTTCTTGAGATTGAGGGAATGGAAACCAGCGGGACACTTCATGTAGAAGTCCAAGGTAAATCTGATCACAGATATTAAATATTAAAATTGCTTTTTAGTCTGTAATCAATATGTCATACTTCAAGAAATGTCCTGATATAATGTATACTGTTGTCTGTGGAAAGTCTTTGTGGGTTAGCAACAGGCACTGTTACTAGTTACAGTAGTTATGGTCATGAGAGCTTTTCAATGTTGTTGTTTCTTGCTCTTCTCTGCAGGCCCACCAGAGATCATGAAGCCAGACGACACAGAGATGGAGGAGAGTTTTGGGACGACAGTCGATCTGAGCTGTAGTGTCAGAGGTTTCCCTACTCCCAGCGTTACCTGGACCACCTCTGATGGAAAGGTACAGCAGAGGGAAGCCTCCCATTTTCTATTAGCTACAGCTGCTGCAGAAATGCAGCGTTTTTCCAAATGTGTTCTCCTTAGATAAGATCTAATACTCTTTAATCCCAAAATAACTTCAACCGTCTGGTCAATCATGACAAACTGGTTTACAGTATACGATCCACACAGTTAAAATTACAGGACAAAAAAAGTCTTATATATTAACTTAAACAAATTGTGTTTTAAATTATCTTTTTTTTTAATGTTGTTTTACTCTACATATGATGAAATTAGGAGCAGGTTGGTGGCTGTGTATTAGTTGTTAATGGGGTGCAGTTCTGCACTATGTTCTAGTATTTATTGAAATTACAGTAATTTTCCTAACTAGGACATTTATTCGAGGTAATGTAGCAATGAATGGATGGCAATATCGTTTGGCTCTCCATTTTGGTAAAGAACAACTATTTGATGTATTGCTATATAAGATGTTGTCCAGATATAAATGGCACGGAGAGGATGTATGCTAATGAATTTGATTATCCCCATACTTTTATATCCAGCACCAACAGCAGGTCAACATTCTCACTTATTCTCGCTTTTCAGACTGATGACTTCCTTCAGTCTGTGACAGGATGTCCGCTTTAAATCTGACTTGTGCAGAAGAGAGAGAAACCTTTTCCACTGGTGGACCTGTTTTATTCTCTCTGTCTACACTGTGTTTTTTTTGTACCAGATCCTCCCGACAGCATCTCAAATAGAGAGCTGGGGTGAAGTCCATAGTGTGGTCAGCATCAAAGTCACCTCTGACATTACGGCTTTCTGCAATGCCTCCAACGATTTCGGCAAGGACGCGTTGACCTTCAACATCGCAGCCAGTGAGTTCCTTCGTCAGATTGCGTTGTTGTCTCCACTCTTTGTGTTTATTTGTGAGTCCGTCTCTACCTGTTGTCCTCCTCTCTTACCCCCCTTTCCTCCTGCTCCTCACCTTCTCGTCTGTGTCACGTCTCCGTTTGTTTTTATTTTGTCTGAGGGCGTCGAGCTCAGCCATGTGCATTCTGGTGTTTCAGTGTTGTTGTTGTGGACAAGACGCTGTGAAGCTGTGTGGCTGTGCGCCTGTTAAATGTGCTCCCCTCCTCCCCCAGTGTGTTTTAAAAGGAGTGTCCTTCCTTCTGTGCCTTGTACCTGTTTTCAGCTATAAACACCACCACACCAGCCACAACTAGCACTAGCACTAGCACTACCACGACCACTACAACTACAACTACCGCTACCAATACCTCTGCCACAGGTAAGACCACAGTCACTCTTCACCGTCTGCCTCAC